CTCACCTAGTCACTTGGTGCAAGCACTCGGTCGCGGACGTGTTCTCGAGCTCACTCTGTATCACAGTTTAACAAACAGGTTCAGAAGCGATCGATTTGTGAGACCAGTCTCGACAGACGTAATAGGATGAAGGACATCTGCTCGCAGGTGAGTCTCGTGAAACTCTGTCTTCCTGTATCGCGCCTTACAATACAGTGCAAAAGAGTCGAGTCGCGCCATCGTGTGTCATCGACATGTGGCCAGAGATTTGATGTTTCACAAAAGTGGATCATTCTTCAAAAACCAACGATAAAAATAATGATGAAATTTTTTAACAACATAATGGAATATTTAGACTGTTTTATAAACGCATATTCTTATAATACTTATATACACTTGTATACATTGAGTGGCTATATATTCTGACTAACTGAAATGTTCTTGAGCTATATTAATACACTTGTAGTCGTAAGAGGAAAGAAGCGAATAAGCGCAAATTAAATTTGTCGAGTGCTCGTTAAAAGTATATCATTTTTAAGTTAGGAAAAAATAATAATTTCGAAATTGCTCATATGATCATGTATATTCTACGTGTAACAAGATATCGACTGTTTGTTATCGGATGCTTGTTCGCAAATATCAAATAATATAAATATGAAAATAGAAACATAAAGTACTAAAATAAGTATATAAGAACGGAAGTATAAGAAATTCAAAATCGAACGTCGCTGGCAACGTTGAGAAAATCTCAGAGTACTCCGATACAAAATTATAAAGAGTCTCTAGATGAAACTATTAATATTACGTTGCGAGAAATACTTGCATTTGTTCGTTTCTTACGAACAAAAAGTAAAACTCCAGTTTTTCGACATTCTGCAACCGGTAGTTAAAAAAAAATCGCACGATCGAAATACTCGACGATACGAGTTCTTATAAATTATTGTATCAACTAATTAAGAAACGAGAGTACAATCATTAATAACATTACTGTAGTTCAAGTATGAGTTCAAGCCACGACTGATGTAATCAGCCAGACCTTTTGGTTCGGAGGTCAGCATCATCTTAAATAATCTGTCGTTCTATCGAAACGTATTTAGTAACATTAATTCCACGCTATCGTAAAAATTTTAAACGATTTTATTTATAGTCTTCTCGAATATTTACTGTTGTGTATTGATGCATCATATATTATAAAATTAATATTTTACGTATTTTTTAAATTAATAACATAAACTTAATTCTAATTTATTAATAAGAATTAATATAATTAAATAGATACTCGCAAATAATTTAAAAGTTAATATAATATGCGAAAAAAACTGTAAGTTGGAAATTTTTTATTATTAATGTGAATTGATGTTATAATGAAATGACAGATTACTTAAGCAGGAGGATGCTTCGAACCGAGGGGTCCGCTCGATTATGTCAGTCGTGGCTTGAACCACAATAACGCTATTAGTGGCTGTACGTTGTGCACTCTCGTTTCTCCGTTCGTTGAAGTAATCATATGTATATAAAGGCTCGTTGTGTTAAAAGATGTGTATCGTTGGATGTTTCAATCGCGATTTTTTTAGAATTACTTTTTGTGTATCGAAACACATAAAAGTGCTTAATTATTCTAGTTGTAAATTACTGATAATTTATATCAATTTTTTTATATTACTGTTCGTGTAATTGCTGAAAAAAATGCAAAGTATATACTTCAAAATTAATTTTCTCATATCTGCATCGAATAAATTTTATGTGATTATTTCAAGTTTATAAACTAGATTAAATAAACATTTCAAGAAAAATATGTGTAATTGATCAAGTCATCGGATTATATTTGGCTATTATAACCCGAAAGTTATCGTTTGACCCCACGTAGTTTTAGAAACTAGTTTTAGATTTCAATATGGACGGCGACATATCGCCGCATGGTTCACATATGCGCGTAGCCGATAAAAACTGTTTATTCTAGAAAAAGTAAAAAATTGCCCGTACTATGATTGCTTATACGCGCATGTCGTAATATCTCTATATCTTCTTTCTCCTATTTTGTTTTTCAATTTTTTGTGTATCATACAATGAACGATTGAGTGTTTCATTACGTAAAAAAATATCAGATATATTTATCATATCAGGATTTTATTGCAGCGGACGTTACATGTTTCTTATTTATGGAAAAAAATCTTGCCGTAAATGAAAATTTGTGAATGTGTGTTTTAAAGAGATTTTAATTATTTTCAGTAATAGAATATGTGATCTAAGGAAAACTAAAACTGTGCGTAAGAAAAATATTTTACTTTTAAGCAAAAGAAGATAATGTATTTATGGAATCCATTGCCGATAATAATTTATGACGCGAAACGTGCCACCAGTCGATTTATGACCTATATTAATCTATGTCGCGCGACTCGTTCTTCATACTCTGCTGTGCTATTTAATAATCTAGTCAAATGTTGGTCATAGCGTCGTAGACTGTCGATAAACTATATGTCATTGCTGTTATTATTTTTTTATTACATTATAATTTTAACTCTTTTTTTATTACATTATAATTTTAACTTGCTTTCTTTTTATCCATACGAATAAACTTTGTATATAAGTTTTGTTAATTAATTTATCAACAATTTGTATTGATGCAGCAGAAACATTAGTGAGAAAGCAATTAAGAGATTAAAAGTTGTTTTTTCTCTCTAGACTCACATGCAAATTTCGCATGAAATAGCAAAGGCGACCTTGTCCGTTGAGCTTTCGCGATTGTGATGCGAAACGAGGATAAACGATGGAGAATGAACGCCCACGATGTTCGCCCGCGCTTCTATTCCTATCCGCGCGATTCACTCTTTCTCGCGCGTCTTGAGTCATTCGTATATGCGAACGAAATTTCAGAAAAAGCGACGCCGACGACGGAGATGACGTAGTCCACCACCCACCTGTCGGCTACGCTATTTTCGGGATGCGCTTCGTACGCATAACTTTGCGTTAATGCACGCGGCACGCCCACACGGACGGGAGTTTGGCTGCCGAATTCTCTTGTGACATACTTGCACACGCGAGAAAAAAAATGGTTAAAAAATTCCTCAGCTTGCGTTTCATAGAAACAAATGGAAGCGATTGTCACAGGTGGACTGTACAATTAATTATACCTATCATTAAATCGGTTCTACATATTATTAGATACTTTTACAAAGTAGTTAACAATCTGTCATTCATATTCAAGCTACATGCTACGTGGAAATTTTCGAATAACAATTTTACAAATGAGCGAAGTTTTTATTATCATATAAATCGAATTTACGTGTAAATTTTCATTAGAAACGTCAAGTATAATTTCTCTTCGTATTTCAAGTTAATATTCTAGATTGTGCGCGCAGTACACATTTCAGAAGATCAAGAAAGGCCGAAGTTCAATATTGAAAGAAAGCAACACAAAATAGCAGAAGATTACAGTTATCATTGTTTTGTAAAATTACTACTGCGCCGCACAATATTCTTCTTTTATCGCAAAAGATGCAACACTGGCAAGAGTGCAATAATACGTTTCGTATCGAACATAAATTGCACAAAGTAATTTCTCGCGAATACCCGAGCGGCGATGCGTAATCCACAAGCGTTCTCCTGGCATCTTTATTGCCGAGGTGCAAAGTGTTTCGCCGTCGTTGAGCGAGGAAGACTCCATAGCTTTCGATCGAACGACAAGTACGGACTTTCTATGATCGTAGAACATAATTTTTGGAATGTTTATGATCCCGCGTCGAACGCCGATATATCGCTAGACTCACGCTTCGGCGCTAAAAAATACCCACGTGCTCGGCACATTTTTCTTAACCCGTAAGAGTAATATCGGAGACATTTCATTTTTGGAATGCGAGTAGATTTTCGCGGCTCATGAGACTTGGCAACTTTTGTTGTTGGCCGCTAAACATTCGCTCATGCATAAATTAAGTGATCGGCGATTACACGCCAAGGATGCGCAAGCAGATGTTCGCTCCAACTCGTTGAATTGCACGTAAAATTGTTTCGGAAATTAAATGCCGTTTAACTGACACTTCGCTTTTGTTTAACGACGCTTTACGACCCCGGAACTTTTGTTTCAAAATGTACTGCGTGTGAGATAAGGCGAGGAAGCTTGCCAACTAGTGTAAAAGATTATATATATCGGCCAGTGAATCAGAAAAACCTATGATACAACTGTGAACTCTTTGTTGCGTAAACTCTATAGTCGTATATTATTAGTTAACCTCGATTTAAACTAAAAAAATATTAACGAAAAACATGATATTGTCGTACACATGAGGTAATTGTAATAATAAAGAAAAATAAATTTCCAAACGTTAGATATGATCAGCGGCCGAATGGGAAAATAAAGCAATTAAGATATGAGTAAGTGACGTAAATATGAAACCTTCTGTTCATAAATATTTGATTGACCGATAACGTCTTCTCCACAAATAAGTTGGATGCTCGAGAAAGCTTTAATTGCTTAATTTTTCTTGCTGCAGACGTATCTAGAGAGTTAATCTTTATCTAACACATGTAACGCGATTGCGCTATCTCAATGGCCGATAATAAAGCAATTTCTCCGCTTTCTCTTGACAGATGATGTATGCGTGTCGCAATCTGATAGCGTGATCAGCGCTAATGCAAAGCGTGGTGAACATAAAACGTAAGAACGCAAAACGAACTCAAAAAGACCATTTGCCCTTTGAAGCAGGCAATGCCCCTGGTTACTTTTAGGCATCTTTATCGGTCACAGTGTCTATTCACAGAGTTGTAATGTATCAAAGTGTCAGTAGCAAGAGCACTGAACCGGATGTGATAGTCATTTTTCAGATAGTCAAATCTGGACCGGAATAAAAAACTTCCGTAAAAACTTTGAACCGGTGAAGTTATTTTATCTGTCTAGATAAAAACAAGAACTAGAACAACCTCAAATTATGGAGAAAATTTATTTTTACACTGGTGTTAAATTTTTTTATAGTGTATAATTTTTTAATTTTTCAATAATTTTTTGACGCTAAGTATGTAATTAACAGTTTCAGAAAAATGGCTACGTTATCTTGGAGGACTTCTTTCGACCGGAGGAGATTGAAGAATTGAAATCTTGCGGAGAAGAGTTCACGAATAAATTACCACCTGAATCGGAACGAAAGATATTTAATACGATAAAGCTGCAACAGGTATTTAAAAATTAAATAGTTGTATGAAATTGTGTGATAAAAATTAATTTTTTTTCGTATATTGCAGATATTTTTAATAGAAAAAGTAAATATAGCGAATAAATTTTATAAAACATAATGTGCTTATATTTTCTGCTAATTTTAAGGTTCTTTATTTGAAATAAAACTTTAAATACCAATGCTAATAGATATAATAATTGATTGTTTCAGAATAAGGATCAATATTTTTTGGATAGTGCTAATAAAATAAGTGCTTTCTTCGAGGCTGAAGCTTTGGAAGAAGATGGAAGATTGAAAGTTCATCCGAGAGTGTCGTTAAACAAAGTAAATTGTTTTAAAAGAATCTTACTTCTAATAAAATCAATTCTCTACGGTAATTTTTACATGATTGCAGCTACTTCATGATTATTTTATACTTTCCAGATAGGTCACGCTCTTCATTGGTTGCACCCCACCTTCAAAAAATATACCTTTGATGAAAGAGTCAAGGAAGCTACTTTCCAATTAGACTACCAAGAACCAGCAGTATGTCAGTCGATGTATATTTATAAAAATCCTGGAACGGGTTCGGAAGGTAAATTAATTATTTGTATCCTCTCTAGTAGAGAGTAACCTTTGGTAGGCCTAGAATATTATATTAAAATGTACATTTTATTTATTAGTACAGCCACACATTGGAATCTTATAAGAAATTAAAGAAATTAATAAATAGTAATTTAGAATTTACATTTTTCTTCATTACAATGCATTAAAATATTTTAAACAAAGAAGTAGTCTAGAATGTACATTTTATTTTTATGCCTTAGAATCTTATATTATGTCATTTGGCAGGCCTAGAACTTTACTGCGATGCATTATTTTACATTCTAGAATTCTAAACCATTTTTTTGTTTAAAATATAAAGTTTCAACGCATCGCAGTAAAGTTCTAGACCTACCAAATAATATGATATAAAATTCTAAGGCATAAAAATGAATAAAATATACATTAATATACATTTTATTATAGCGCACATGATAATCTATATAACGTAATATAATAATTGCATTAAATAATGACTATTTCTTGCAGTTATAATGCATCAAGATGCATCGTATTTATATACCGAGCCAGTGAAACTTGTGGGTTTCTGGATCGCATTGGAAGACGCTACGCAGGAGAATGGATGTTTATGGATCGCTCCGGGTTCACATCAAAGCGGAGTACACAGACGATATATGAGAAACAAAGATAAAAATTCTCCAGAATTATTAATTTACGACAGAGCAGCGCCCTGCTATCCATTGAGTAATTTCAGACCAGTACCAGTACGCAAAGGAACCTGCATCCTTATCCACGGTCAAGTGGTCCACTTTTCTTATCCGAACAAGAGCGAAACATCAAGACACGCTTACACTTTCCACGTGATTGAAACGAAACACGTATCTTTCTCGAAAGATAATTGGCTTCAACCACCTACTGGAGGTTTTGCAAATCTTTATAGAAATTAAATACATTTTATTCCTTAAAAATTGTGTTTTTATTTATGTTGGCACTCATCGGCACCTACACATCTCAAATTATTGATAAAGAAATTTAAGAAATGTAACCTACTTTGTTACTGTGAAATTTTATTGATAATTGTGATGTTATTTATAATTGTATAATTTATACAATTATAAAGTTTTTTGTTTATACAAACTTTAGAAGTGGCAAAACAAATGATCTTTTTCTGAAACAAATAATCTTTACCCAATTACATCACTGTGAAATAATATCGGTAGTATCTAAAAAATATCGTATGTGTAAAATTTTTAGAATTTCTGCCATATATAATTTGATCTCCAAAAATAAACTTGTAAGGATCTGAAATTATATCCAAATTAATACTTAGCGACAAAACAAACAAATTTTATTTTTTCTGCTATTCAATCATTTTCAAACAAAAAATTGTTACAAAAAATTGTTACAAAATATTTTTGCCCAGAAATGCAGATTTGATATTTTTTGTTGATACTACCGATATCTCGCAACAATCACCACTTTCACAATAAAGCTTAACTCTCATTAAATAATACACTTAATAATAGATTAATAATATCAATTTATATCATAATAAAACAAACAAAAAAGATATTTACATTTTTTTCATGTATGTCATTACGTATTCAAAAAGTAATCGCAAAATCCAAAAAATTTATGCATGATTAGCTAATGCGCAAAAATGTGTACTTAATTCCTGTAATTGTCTCAATCCATTTTGCAATATATTTTTTTTTAACTGTACACAATAATATATATCTAAAATTTCCACATCTACTGTCATTCTCTGTGCATCAGGTAAGAATGTATTTAAATTGTGTTGTAAACTAAGCAATGTCTCATATTTTATCGAATTTTCAGCTTGCATCAGTAACCTAGTAACAAAAAAAGACACGTTATATAGTTATAATGCAGTAAAAAGAGTAGTATTAAAACATATATTATGTCATGAATAGATTGTCTATTAGGAGATAACTTACTTATTTAAGTTTTGTGTCAAATCATTTATTTTTTTGGTAATTTCTGGTTGCAAATGTTGTATAGCCGTTTGTGACATTGGTGGATTTAAAGGTCTGTAGTTAAAAGAACACGGAATTCCTGCGACGCTACATGCCAAACCACTATTGAAATAGAAATAAATATTGATACATATCACATTTGATTCAATCATCGATAATATATTTTTCGCACACGAATAAATGTGAAATTATGTATCGTAAAGGAATCTTACCATATGTCGCGTGCATAATTGTAGATATACTGGAAACTTTGAAATACTCTTTCTGCTCTCATTTCTTGCTCTTGGATATTTTCTACTGCACCTATTTTTGCGTATAATTTTTTCTGATCCATATCAGTGATATATTTACGACAACGACTTTTTAATTCCTAAAAATGTGGAATGTAAAAATTTATTAACTCTTCATAATGATAATGTATTCCAATGAATAGAAAGCATTACCGTAATAGCATCAAATGTTTGCGTCATGAGTTCACAATGCTTAGTCGTGTTAACCATTTGTACTAAGTTACTGCATTTTTCTAAGATGCATTCGACATCTTGCAATTTCCTGCCACCAGCTGAAAGCAAGGTCAAGGTTACACTCAAGTTGCAAAATATAATATTTTATTACTATAAGCTAAATGTGTATAGATACTTGGTGTATTTTCGAAAGCATGAAGTAAGTCTTTCATATTGCTCTCAGCATGTCTTTGAAACGATTCGTTTATTGCGGCAATCCAGTGTTTTACAGCACACTTTAATGCAGTTATTATAGTCCAAGGTGGTTTTATAATAACATATATCTTCCATTCTAACTCTCCATAAATCTCTGCCATTTGCTTAACAATGATCTAAAGTGAAAACATTCATTAAATATCAATTTGATTGGCAAATTATCAAAGTTGCCCATTCAAAATCTAGCATACGACACATACCGTTGACAAAAAATCTTTCATAAGTGTCTTTGTATCCTCGAAAACATTATCTGTCAAGAGTGATTCTTCGGTAAAGAGAGAAGTTTCATTAGGACCATTAGTCAAATAATTGGTTGCTCTATCATCCATGTTAATATAATTTATTTTTTCAAGAGGATCGTTACGTCCCAATGCCAGTATGTTATACACCATTGTTTTAGTGCAGAGATTTTTATCATATGATAATAAAACCTACATCCAAAAAGTAAGAATGAATAAAGAACATATTTATTAATATACACATGTTTTATAACGTGATAAGACAACTTACCACAGATTTTCCTAATTTTTGAATTTGTAAGCAGCACTGAAGGATTTCATCGTCTGGACAATTAAGGGAAAAGTCTTCTTTATTTTGCGCTGCCTGTTCTCGTGTTTGTCCTATGACACGTGGATGTTTGGCAGAAAATTGTTCATGAATAAAAGATATAGCTTTCCTGGCCTTTGCTCTCAATTCCCATTTAGATTTATTTTCCTTAAAGTAATCTAGTTCCTATATTATAAAAATTGTTTAGAAAATTTAATATTAAAACTTTCGCAAATAATATTCATTACTCTATGTTATACTTACACATATCACAGTCCATGGAATTATAATAAAAGGGCGTGGATAATGCTTAAACACCGTGTCTCTTGCCTCTTCAATAATTTCTAAGTTTACCAAAAATACATTTGTATCAACAACAATGTGTAGTGGGCCTTTCTCCTGTGATTCTTCCACTCCACTAAATTGCATTAGTTCTACGGTATTTCCTGGTATATGATTTATATCATCTGCACTTTCTTTATTGAGTTGTGCTCTAACAACTTCAACCTTTGTAAGGAATATGAAATTATATATAAAAATATGATATACAAATTATTAACATAATTCAATAATACTGATGATACCTGTAGTGTGATCTCTTCATCGTTCATTGGTTCCCAATCCATTTCTTCATAATCTAGAACTTCTTTGTTAGCCTGTTTTATTAATTCGTCTGTTGTAATATCAACTGGTGTTTTATCTTGTAAAGTTTGTGATTTGTTTTGTTTATCGTTGTTTGATGCAACATTATTTTTATATAATGAATCTTTTAAAACTCTGTTATGTAATCTTTTAAGTCGAACCTCAACATTTCTATAAGCATATGAAGATTCCGAGCCATCATTGTCTGCAAGTGAAAAAGATGATTTAACAATTATTATTAAAACGCATATACATATATCTCAAAATTTTATAGAAAATATTTTGAAAAATTTAATATTATCTGCCTACTATGTGAGTTAGGTAAACTTCTGTTACGTCTTGATGGAATTTTGTTAGCACCAACAGATCGACAGATTTCTTCAAATTTCTCCTTTTCCAGATTCAAACTTCTTCTTAACGTTTGCATACGTTCTGTTGCCAAATTGTTCTTTAATGAGTGTCTTTGTTCTAAACACAAAATTGATTTTTAATACTTCTATTCTTTGTACATTTGCATTAAATAGCATTAATAACATAATATTTAGATATTAATCTATAATTGTAATTATATAATTACTTGAAATATCTTGTGGTGTATAAGCACCCTTCTTTTGGTTATTTCGATATTGCCCAGTGCCATTTTTAAACCGATAAATATTTCTCTGCTCTCCTTTCCTCTCCTGCATTTTTATTGACATTTTATTTGATATATTTGTTTGCTGTTTGCTTTCGACACTTATCTTCGTTTTTTGGTTTAGATTAGATGTACCCGAGTTTCTTAATTGAATTTTGTCTCGAAGAACACACATTTGTGGTGTAAATGTTGTTGTTTTGATATTATCTTTATGCAGAGACGTCATCGATATATTATTATTTGTCTGCTTCGCAGAAGAGCTTTTTACAAATGAAGACATTCTTTTATCATTCCTTGACTTTGTATATGAAGATTTTGAAGGAGGTTTATTCTTGGCAATTGATCTCTGATGTCCAGTTTCTCGAACATCTTTCCTCTGTGGTGTTCTCACAATTTTATTTTGTGTTTGTCTATGGCTTGTTTCATCGTTCACAAGGTCACGTTCAGGTGTCTTTGCTCTTGAAGAAAATTTTCCTTCAAGATTTTTATGATTTCCATTTACCGAAAGTGTCTGTAGAAAATATACATAAATATAATTAAAAAACTTGATCTGTTATAGAACAAAGAAATAAACTATAAACAGAAATGGAAGCTAAAATACCTTATCAATTTCAATCGTTGAAGGTTGTACCCATGTAGATTTATTTGTTTTTACATTGAAATAATATATTCTGTCTGGATGACTCTTAGAACTGACAATAATCCAATCTTGTGGTAGTTTATGTTTTATCATATTGAATGTAGAATATATTAAAATATATAATTTGAAATTATTTGTGCTGTTCTTGTTTTTAATAATCAGAAAGCATTTCGTAGTCAGTCAACACATATGCGACGATATAATATTTAGCCAAATAAAGATGCAACTTCAAAAACTGAATAATACGTTGTATCAAATTATTGCGAAGCTTTCACAATGTAAAAAGAACTTGATCAATATATCCACATTTATCAAAGTGTATCAAAGACTCTGAAGCATTACTGAACATTATATAAATATCTAGATGCTAAACCAACACAGTGTTGCGATATGGGACCGGTTGTATGCGCATGTGCGGCAATACGGCGTCAGTACAGTGTCTCATACAAATTAAACAAGGCACCGTTACCCCGCTACATTAAAAATATTTCTAAATTTTTTGAAATTGATTGAAATTTTTTACTTCTTGGTTTTTTAGCTGCTGGCTCCGTAGATTCCATGCTTGTAAATAAATAAATCTTACCTTATTTGTAGTCACCAGACCTTCTCATGTCAAAACGTCCCGCCATACAGTCAACACATAACATATAACGGCACTGGATCTCCATCACCGCACATGCGCAGAGCCCGCACATGCGCATACAACCGGTCCCATATCGCAACACTGCCTGCAACATATGAAGTGAGCCTTGAAGGAGTGGGGATAGCCTCGCTCTCTCTCTGTCTGACAATGAGTGGATACGTCTGTCTCATGTTTGTCTTCGTTCTTGATATCCCCACTATACGTTCTAATAAATGTGGAAGAAGAACAGATATCCCCGCCTACTATTGCTATCCTTAGGCCGAAACTACGCATTGGTTCTTAGGGCCACATGGGTTCTACAATGCGTTGCAAATACTCCGTCGCTAGTCGCAAAGAATGACAACTACTAATTGAAAACTGCTACTTCTGGTTATTTCTGGTAAGGGCCTATCCAGACAAACTTGCATAGTCGCATAAACATATGCATAAGGAAATTGATTGGTCCATAAGCAAATGCATAAGAAAATGGACCAATCAATTTCCTTATGCATATGTTTACGCGACTATGCAAGTTTGTCTGGATAGGCCCTAAGACGGAGCATTTGCGATGCATTGTAGAATGGCCCTTATTCTTCTCACTGATTCTTCCGACCAATGAAAACGGAACTAACAAATGGATTTCAGATTGACGATTGACGTATACGTCATTTTGTTCACTTTGCAAATGGCAGTAGATGATGATTCGACGCGATATTAGGTTATCGAGAATTATCAAATATTAATTGTATCGTCATTAGTAAATTATGACATCCATCAGCGAAGTCGACGCAGTGCCTAAATCGAAAAAACCATCGGGTGAGTAGTTCAGCTGTTATTGAAGGCGAGTGTTGTAACATTTATCGATGAGCTTTTACTTGAGTTTCGTACGACGTCAATATGAGCATGTATGTTTAAATAAACACTAATATTTTATTCTTAATATAGAATAAATTGGACTAATATATAATTCATTTATAATACATTAAATTTTGATACAAAATAGTAAATTTCGCGTTTCATTTAATGATTATTTTTCTGTTAAACTCATTAAATGTGTTACAAAGTTATCTTGAATCTCCAATTGTTATCTAAGTAATCTTACTTTTTCACTTCTCACACATGCGAATTATCGATCTGTCAATTTGCTTTTATACAGATAGTGCATTCAAACAACAACGACTACCAGCCTGGCAACCAATACTTACAGCTGGCACGGTTCTACCAACGTTTTTTGTAATAGGTGTTGCATTTATACCAGTCGGTATAGGATTACTTTATTTTTCTGACGAAGTCAAGGAAAAGACTATAGATTATACTAATTGTAATTCCAATTCCACAAATCACATTCAAAATGGACTACCTCTCAAATGTGCAGACATAATTGCAGCCAATTCTTCGGAACCCTGTTTTTGTGAACTGAATTTTACACTACCTGTACACTTTATGGGCAAAGTTTACATGTATTATGGCCTAACAAACTTTTACCAGAACCATCGCAGATACGTAAAATCTCGAGATGACAATCAATTATTGGGAAAATTAACTAACATAAATGAGGAGATTTCAAGTGATTGTGAACCGTTTGCCTATGATGAAAGAAACGATACTAAAATTCCCATTGTCCCATGTGGAGCCATTGCAAATTCACTTTTCAGTGATGATCTAACACTGTATTCCGCTAAACATAATGAACCTGTGCCATTATTAAAAACTGGCATAGCTTGGCCATCCGATAAAAATATTAAATTCAGGAATCCTGAAGGAAATATATCAAAAATATTTGAGAATTTTGCCAAGCCTAAGAACTGGAGTAGAACTATTTATCAATTAGATCTTGATGATCCAAATAACAACGGATTCCAAAATGAGGATTTAATTGTATGGATGAGAACAGCTGCATTACCTACCTTTAGGAAACTCTATCGTAGAGTTGATCATAGTAAAGATGGCTTTGTTGATGGTCTACTCGCAGGAAACTACACTCTTAAAGTCAAATATTGTAAGTAATCTAAACAAGCTTAAACACAATCAATTATACGAACAATTTAACAAATGAAATAAAATGGAATCAAATACAATACAATAATAATTTTTAATTACAAAAGTAAAAATTGATACATTTTATGTATTTTCTTCTTTTTTTCTTATATAAGTATTAAATATTGGATAATACATTGAATGATTCTTTCAGCATTTTCCGTATCTGCCTTTCATGGGAAAAAGAAGATGATTTTAAGTACAACATCCCTTTTGGGTGGCAAAAATCCTTTCCTGGGTATTGCTTATATTGTTGTGGGAAGTTTGTGCTTATTGCTGGGCATAGCATTACTCATTATACATATTAAATGTTCCAAAAGGTAACAACTATATCCATACACTATATATGTTTGCACTTATTCGTCTATATGAATAAACATCTAAAAATACTAAATATCATCAATTTTGACATGGTGAAGGAACAGTTGTTTTAGTTACTAAACATAAAGTCATAAAAAAGTAAAATAAATTGTAATGTCTTTAATGTTCACAAACATACTAAACTTTATGTAACTTTGTGTAATTTTACAAATGCACAATGCAACGTATCGCAATTTTAGCGATATATTCACGTACGACTTAAACAATCTCTTTTATTAGATCTGGAGAGATAAATATTCATATTTTTTTTTAAAACATGAGTTGAGATAATATAATCTAATATATGTTATACAGCAAACTAATGTAAAGACGGCTACAAGAAACTATTCTTAGGGCACCGTGTATGTTCTTGTAAGTGTTTGTAATATTGTGTTACGTCTATCCCTCTCTGTAATTGACATGTAAAATGTTGCCTTGTATGATAAAATATGACTAATCGAGCAGTGTTTTCTTATAATTTCGTATTTCAATACTAAATATTAAAAACTGTGTATGTATATTTTATTACATATATATTTAATTTGTTTACTGTATATAAGTATTGTAAAATATTATGTATTTTAATAAAAATACAAAAAAGAATCAATTGATAATTAGCTCGATTGGCCATATTTAGTGCATTGTATGCTTTATCGAAATGTATATATATTTTTCTGCTGTATATATCAAGAGAATGGGATATTTAAAACACTGCTACATAGAATCTTCGATTTAATGTGAAATTACAGATAAAAATAATTTTATTACAGCATTGTTGATTTTTTTTATTTATTTACTTATGACTACGTGATAACTAAGAAGATAAAACAATTTTATAACTATAATATAGTTATTTAAAAGTAGATATAATATGTGTATGTGAATTGTGATAGATGTAAGATAATATGACATATAAAAATAAAGAAAACATGGCATGAATATGAAGCAGTTGATCTTACAGCTCACTTTGATATTATATTTTATAATATAAATTATTTCCATAAATCATGTCATATGCTTGTTTTTTTATTTTTCTATCTTATATATGTCGAAATATATATTTTGAAAAATTTAATTAAGAAATAAAAAGTCTATAAATATATAATGAATAAATATAATAAAAAGCATGTAGCATGTTATGAAGAAAAATATTTAATCATATTTGTTATCGTATTCTTAATTTTACGCATTATTATATTCGGAAGCATTTTGTTTTCTTTTAAGCTTATATATTATTGTTGGAATTCATTTAACTGGCAAGTGTGGAGCAGTCGTGTAAATTTTTTATTTGCAATTTTCGCATATATTTATTTATATTTTTATTTTTTAGCACCGCCGATATGACCAATGTGACTCCAACTACGGAATATCATCATAATTAATGATTCCTCTACTCGAAATAAGCATATACTTTTATAAGTATGAATCATTATTGGCTATGCTACTTTAAGACCAGTCAAATTTTCTAATAGCATTCTGCTTTCGTTTATTTATTATAAACGAAATTGGAAAATGGATACATATGGTAAAGCAACAAACAAATCAAAAATTTCCTATTTATTTAAAAGATGGTTATCTTTTAAAACTAATCAAGTTTTTCAGTATTGTTACACAGTGTATCTTATAATGGAATATTAATAGCTGAATATGTAATATAATTTTGAAAGATATTAATTTAAAAATTTGAAATTTGACAAGTTAAAGTGCTGAAAACTTTTTTATGGATAATTATTAATCAATTATTTATAATCATTATCCATAATCATGATTAATAATTATCCATAATTATGATTATTGATAATTATTAATCAATTATTCATAAATCATTGTCAATACTTAATTCAGTTATAATCATTCTTGTGGAACACTGCATAGACAAAATTCACAAGTGTATTAATTATTATATTGAAACCAAATATGTTTATGTTAAAGTCTTATTTTATTAGTAGGGTAATAAATTTTTCGTAAGACATTCTTTTAAATTAAAAAATGCACTTGGATGCATTTATTAATGCATATTTATCTTACATTTATGTTGATATAGAACCAATTAAACTTTCTAAACCTTGATACAAAAAATCTAAAGATATAGAAAATTTTGTTAATTAAATGTATATTAAAAATTTTTTATGAGTGATTGCATGAAATACAATAGTTATAAAATATTTTTTCACAAATTTATTTAGTTTTGATTAATTAATGCCAGAATGGCTTTAATACATGTATAATTTAATGAATTATTAAAAAAAATTAATCTCTCTTTTTCGAAAGTACAAAGAAAATTCCTCTCAAACTGTTGTATTTGATGAATAAGACTATTATTAATGTTGCGTTGTTTAAAAATTAATGTTTATTATTTATTATCTTATGAATTTATGTATATTATGCATTTGTAATTTCTATAGATTTAAAAATATGAGATATATATATATATAGGAGAGGTAGAATATTTTATTGTATTTCAAGAAATTATTTGCATTGTAAAAAATGATAAATAATGATGTATATATTGTCAGCACTACAATTATCTCTCTTTTTAAGAGAAAAAACTAATTTATTACTAATAACTAATATTATTCGTTGATCAGATATCGGAAACTTTAACTCACAAAAATATTTGCTGTGCAATTTTATTTAATCAAATTAGTTATAAAGTTATTAAATACTTTTGTATAAGCTATTATACTATATGTCCATATTAATTGTAATTTAGATTCTCCAGACTAATATTGTTCTCAGAAATGTTTCTCCAATATTCTGAGTGCAATTTTAATTTATTGTGCCTTAACTGAAAATTATATTACAGACATAATTGTATGCATATACCTAATTAAAAATTTAGAAAAAACATGTTATAACTATTACAGTTAAATTGCAGTATAAACAGAATATTCGTAGAATCAATCTAGTCGATTGTAAATGTAATGATAAATAAAAAGTTAAAATCAACAATGTATTAATAATATTTTTTTATGTAATTTAGAATTATTTTTAGAACAGTAAAAAAAATTTTATTGAAATAAGCATACGCCACTTTAATCGACGTGAATTAAAATAAAATTTTTATATATTAAAAGTTACAGCTGCTCGTGCAACTCGGCTAAATAAGCAACAATATTTATATCTACGCGGCCGATATCGCTTATGAACGCGGCACAAGGTACAATGCCTGTGCGCGGGTGCGGCGAGCGGAGTGAAGCGGAAATATTTTCGAGCGCCATCTTGCCCCGCAACCACATAATTCGTCAGTGCCTGTGTGAATGGACTTGTCATAAGCGTTTTATATTATTTCGCCTTTCCCCGTTCCCCCGGTCGGCATAAAAATCGCGTTTGAAAATTTCTCACTTGTACCCACGCACGCAAGGTGAGTATGAACGTCACGCCGTTCCTGTCACCGCCGTCTCCGTCATCCTGAGTTGCACCAACGCGAAAGATAATAGTGGACGCGACGGAATCGAGGGGAAATCTCACGCGGTGCCGTGACGTTTTGCGCGCGCGACTATAGCCGTTATTTATTTTTCGGAGCCCACAGGAAGACAAGTGGCGAGTTCTTCGTGCACGTTCCACGTCCGCGCTGACTGTCATCGACGCGGAAGGTTTCGCTTACTGCGCGCGGCCGCGCCCGTCATTGCGATCTCTCCGAACTTGCTCGCCTTCGGAGAAAAGAGGATATGACACTCCGCGAAATTGACGTATCGCGTACATCTACTTGCATCTACCCGCGCGAGGATCCCTCCGGAGATCGATGGTGTGTGTGTACGTACGCGCGTGATACATTCGACTCGTTGGCAGTCACGGCTGGAGTGAACAGCGGTGCGTCACGCAACGAGATTACTCTTTAAACGGGAATGCATCCATCCGTTTTTCGCGTTGCCAGTTCAATTGTGTGCATGCGAGAGCCGATTGACGTCTGATAGAACGTTTTTACCGCAATTTTATGACGTAGCGAAGAGCGCGACGGTAAAAAGAAAACGGACAGTTCGAATCGACCTTTAGTGGTAATTGTACAATAGCAATAATTTCCTGCTTGTATCCTGCCGTTCTATCAACGTCTCCACTTGGTGTGCCACGATTTCACGGTATCTTACATCGCTAATGTAATAATTGTTTTTTGAAGTGTACATCTAATGGATTAAAGTCTTCCATTTGACAGTTTGGAGTTGAAGTTTTGTAAGGTAGAACTATTGCAACTTTCTTTTAGATGTGCTTTGAGATATAATTCTTATGTAATTATTCATAACATTTCTAGAACCTTAGTGGCACACTATTTACTATTTATTGTTACATATCGTTTTCTATTCTTATATAACTATCACAACATATTTTAATACACATATGAGCTACTGTGCATTAAATAAGGAATTCAAATAGTACCAAAGAGCAGAGAGAACAATGATCAATACTTTCACGGTCAATTACACGTATAATGCTGTTAGATGTTAGAAGGAAACCTTATAAGGGATTTCAACTCAGTGTAGGTTAAAATAATAGATAATACTTTCAACTTTGTTGGCGATTTATGCTCCACTTTATGTAAAGTAAATATTGCGAATAATGATATTTGCATAGTCATGCAGTAAGAGAAAGACATGACTGTTGTGTTATAAAAATAAATGTATATCTTGCTTGCAAAATTAAAAATATTTTCAAATAATATTAATAATATTATTAAGATATATATTTTTGTGAAGTTACTCAAATATTTGTAATAGTATTTAAATAATATTTTTAAATAGTATCGATAATATTATTTATTAAAACAAACATAGGGATATTTCTTAAAAATTCTGTCACACACATAATATACAAAATAATAATCATCAAAATATATTTTCAAATATTGTACTTTGCATAATAAAAATAAAAATTTTAACTGATTTTGATTTTTAAAAATGTATAGTAAAATTTCAAGATATTATCAATTTGAATAATATTTGAATACGAAATACTTAACACCTTTTTTAAAGTTATTTATCGTTATTCACATTGATAAAATTGCTTCAGTGAGAGAGCACTTATGCTACGACAGTTACGATAAGATAAGAAGTGAATACAATAACACAGAATGATGTTACAGATAGTAAATTTTTTTTTTTTCAGAGAGCAGTACGATTTTAAAGTAAGGTGTACATCTTTACCTCCATCAATGTAAGTGCTTTCTCTCCATAAATTTTATGCATGCACTCTCTTTTATCTGGAGATAGAATAGCTAGGCTCATAGATATATTTTCCCTATAGATTAAAAATTATCGATAGATTAAATTCAAATATTCTTCTTATTCCCTGATTTAATGTCTTGCTTGACAAAAACATTTATATTTAAGAAATATAACAATGTCACTCCTAGTGATTCTCATGCTTTCCAATCAAATGTAGCAGTACGATACATTTGTTCCACACGTAGTTAACCATTTATTACTTAATACATCTATTTAATTTTTGATCATTATAATTAACAAATTAATAGATATAATAAAAAGTTTCTTTGAAAAGACTAAATATATGATCGCGCGCGCGCGCGCGCGTGGCATTTGTTAATAACACCATGACTAAAATTATTGTAAAAATGTTTCTACACAAGATATTCTTAGTTAACTTGTAAAATGATAAATTTCATAGGCTGTGACATTTTGTAAAGGCCATAGCAATCAATGTGTATATCATAAATCCAATATATAACGACATATGATACGCGCGTAAGCTATTATAAATTATCTAAAAAAAGAAATTACTATTTTTATACGTAACGATTATTCTTATACATAACATGTTAACTATGCCAGATAACACATGAAGAAGTATTCAGCAGATACATGAGCTGTGCCTATTAAGAATGAGAAATAAAATAATACAATATTTTTTAATACTGTAATTATGACTACGGTTTTTTTTTGTTTTAATATTTTGAAATGTTGAATATTTTGAAACATATGTGCACATATCGCTATTACATTTTATTTTTGCTCACATCCACAATTTTGCAGAATTTATTTACAAATTTGATGACTTTCATGTAATATTCATTTGCATAATATTAGTATTTAACAAATTAATGTGTCATTATCATTTCTGCACAAAATGATATATCATGTATCACGGTGTGATAATTATACATGAAATTTTTCACTTATTTATTGTGTCATCTGATAGTCTAGGCTTTTGTTGTGATTCGGGGTATTTGGAAGTTTTCTATATTTCTGGGCAAGACCTAGAGTTGCATCAACATCACCAGCGATATTTCATTAGTCAAGAATGGCAATGCAGAAGGTAAATTTCAATAATGCTCACGATTGTTGAATTAACAAATGTGCTCACTCAATAACATGATATTTGATGTTGAAGCATTATTAGAAGATTTTTGTGTCTCAGTAAATGATATGTCAGTCTCTAAAAATAATTTGATGTTTTTAGGAAAATTTATTGTTACGTTTTATATGATCTATATTCAATTATTTTAATTTTCCAATTTTTGTTGTAATGCATTTTTATCGATTTGCAACATTTACCAATGATATGACGATAACAAGTAGTAAAACTGATAATGACAAATGTGCATTATGCAAGTCAATATTGCATCAAGTATTGCTATACAAGTATATTCAAGTTCGATTTGTTTTTAATACCGCTGTGCTCCATGTGGCTCTGTTAACGATATTTATTTCAAAGGTAAAATAGATAAAAGCGATATTAATTATAAATTTATATAGGCACATCTCAAGAAAACAAAGCCCCATCTCAAAGGATATTCTTCAATCCAAACAAGTTTTTATACTTATATACAAAACAATAATATATTTCTAAGTTTAAACAATAATTTTTAATTAAAAATATTTTTAATTGTTTGAATATTTATGTAAACTAATATTATTTTTAAATACATATTATTGAAAAACTAATTAAGTAAATAGCGAAAAACTAAAAAAAATATATATAATTAAAAATACTTTGCGTATAGGTTTCTATTGTGGTTTTGGTAGTATGGAATGTTTTTATTTAAATATTTCTTTTTTATAATTACATTTCATTATATAATTAACATATAATTATAATTATATTTTTATAATTTATAATTTTTTTATAATTATATTTCATTTATTATCATTTTAAACCAATAAAATAAAATTATTTGCCGTAGAGAAATTATTAATACACATGATAGCCATTGACTTATGTGTAATATTAAATACAATTTAATACGATTTGAAAATAAAAATTGTACAGAATAGCGTAAATGCATACTCGTGCTTATAATATTATCCTTTTTAATACATTATATAGAATAATAATAATATATTTGCAAGTTGTATTTCTATTTTCCGTTTTTGTTAACCAATAATTTAATTAGTACGCATGTTTTGGCTTTAGACTTAACTTTTTCATATCGATTAATCTTAATATGAAATCTTACTAAAATTGGATGCTAATATTGTTATAATAGTTTTGTAGAGTGTATGCATACTTGCATGACTTTCATATAAGAAAAATACCCATATTTATTATCAAATGTTACTGTAACATAATTTATATTTGTTTTTACATAGCATTTATATACGTTAAAACTTAAAAAAGACTTTCCATCAGAAAACATTAAGTAAAAAACTTAAATAATATACGTATCTACGCAAAAAACTATGAATTTATTAATTTTGTAAATAATTTTTGTTGTGAATGCCTGTTTGCTTTTTGGAATGGATGCGATAATAAATATGGGTTTCTATAATTAAGGTACATAATACTACAATTAAGTAACATATAGCGATAATATTTTAGATGAGAAGACAAGGTCAAGACGTCATGCAGGTGAACCTAGCAGGTATTAGGCGAGATATTATGAATCTCGCCCATAATTATAGCAATGCTCAGGTAATTAATATTTTTTTATATTAATTGATATAATTTTTCATCATTAATATATGAAATTAATAACGGGATATCTAAAAATATTGTTATCTAAATTAAGAAAATAAGTAAAACTAAGATATATATAAAAATTTTAATTGCTAAAAATGATTGCTAATTGTCACTTTTCTTTTATGTTTCTAGAAAGCTGTACGAAAAGCTACCAGCAATGATCCTTGGGGTCCAAGTAGTACACTTATGGCAGAAATTGCCGACTTAACATACAATGTTGTAGCATTTACGGAAATTATGCAAATGCTATGGAAAAGATTAAATGATCATGGGAAAAACTGGCGACATGTATACAAAGCCTTAGTCCTCTTAGAATATCTTATCAAGACGGGGAGTGAAAAGGTAGCGCAACAATGTAAAGAGAACATCTTTGCCATCCAAACTTTAAAAGGTAACAAATGATTCTTACGATGTGTATAATTGAGAATTTACATTTTGTTTTGTCGCAATTAATCAACAAATCTCTATCAAAGTATTCAATCAATTCTCCTAACACAATCTATTTTTTATAGATTTTCAATACATGGATGGACATAAAGATCAAGGAATTAACGTGCGGGAAAAAGCAAAACAACTAGTGGCCTTATTAAAAGATGACGAGAGATTGAGAAATGAACGTGCTAGAGCATTGAAAGCAAAAGAGAGATTTGCACAGTCTGTTAGTGGATTTGGAAGTGATGGTATGGACACTATGTCGCCTGGTAGTAGTGATGTAAGTAATTATCACCCATATTATTGATTATTTCAGTATTAGTTCTCTTAGAACTGTACAATTCATTTTATGTTTTGTTTTAGTTCCAAGATTGGGAGCCTTGTCACTTATCGGAACCAACGGCTAGACGTGCAAGTAAGTTTGCTTATCATACATTAATAATTTTTAACATCTTTCGGACGAAACTCCTCAAATTAAATTGAAGCGAGAAATTCTCACTTTATATGTAAGAATGAACACACACAACAAATGTATATTTCAGCGGAACTGGAAGCCGCAAGACCGCAAACAGTAGGCGAAGAAGAATTACAACTGCAACTAGCCTTGGCTATGTCTAGAGAGGAAGCGGAGCAAGAAGAACAAAGAAGGCGCAGCGATGACGTTAGATTGCAATTAGCCCTTAGTCAGAGTCAGCAAGATTTCAAGTGAGTAATCAGCGGAATCCAGTGCGGTCTAATAACCTGATGTAGAAAAAAAATGCCTGACCTTGCATTCACAGGCTAATGCCACATGTATGAATTTCAGAACTCCGCAATCCGAGAAGCAAAGTCATATGATGGATTTACTCGATGTAAATTTGGGCGAGGCAAGCGGCGGCCCAAGTTCTGTACAAACTGACCCATGGGGTATCCCGATAGCTGCGCCGCCGCCTAGACCGCAGGTACTTACCGATTATTTTGCCGAGTTGATAAAAATTACACGCTTGTTGCATGTTGCATGATAATAGAAATATGTACCATTTTTGCATGATGCATCACAGTCTTTGGATCTATCTCAGTTTCATGAATACCAGGTATGATCGATGAATGTTAGAGAGCGTTACCGCATTTTGAAGGAGTAAAGTAAACATTTTCGTGAAGTAATTAAGAGAATGATTGGAGATTAATCAAGTTCTCGTCCCACAGCCGCAGAACGATCCGTGGAGTGTTCCAACAACGAGTACCACATCGCCTCCAATAGATCCATGGACACCAGTTCCTCCACAGCGACCAAGTGAGTGTCATTATTTCAGCAACGGTTTTTTATTTTTACAGTTAAATTTGTACTTCATTCTAATTACTAAGTTTATATTCTTTTTGCGCATGTTTTTACATCTTTAATGATTTCTCGGATAACTCTCAGGGTCTTCAGGTATTAATTAAGCTAATTTTCTCACTGCGTTTATATGATTTATTAAATATCCTTATCGAAGAAATACGCTTGTTCTTTAATTTTGCTTTCTTTAATTTTGCTTTAATCAGCTTTCAATGCAATATCGTACGAGTGTAATTTTCATCAAAAATTTACTGAACTTAAATTGTTACTGGATTACAGCGGCTGCTATCGATCCATGGCGTGCACCTGCCCCATCTCCGGCTACAGTCGTGTCTCCTCCTCGTACGAACGATCCTTGGTCACCAGTTCCATCTACGACTACTGAATCAGAGACGAATAAGCCGCAGGTGACTTAGATTTCCTTCAAGTATTCTTTCAAGTTTGCCGATTTCCGCGACATCCGTAAAACACATTGATCTAATTGTTTTTCTTTTTTTGCAGACGGCCCAAGATGGCGTGAAATCCCCATCGCCGTCTTTTAACAATTCAGCCCTAACGCAAAACATCGGCTTTGCAGCGCAATCGCCTCAGAATATAGGTTTCAATTTGCCGCCAGTGTCTTCGGCCACTACTGCCAGCAACGGTTTCAACGGTGCGGGGCTGGGCTTTAGCAATTTTTCCACTCAGAACAACGGTAACGCCGCCGCGACAAGTCCGCTCAGCGATTTAGATGAATTCGACGTAATCACTAACAGAGGAAAAGTTGGAGCTAGTCCACAGACGGTGAACAATGGTATTTGAGAATCATTCAGTTGCACAAATCTGCCAAATAGTGTGTTAACGTTTGTTAAACGTAAACGTAATTTTGAAATAGGAGGCACGGCATCCTCGGGAGATCCTTTTGATCTGGGAGACATAGCTGAAAATCTTCCCGCTAGTACTGGCGCCGTGAAAAAGACACCACAATCCTTTTTAGGAGAAAATTCTGCGCTCGTCAATTTGGATAATCTTGTTAGTGCTTCGACAATTAAACCTGCAGCTCCTACGCCCACAGGTAAGTTTACGTAATTAGAATATATATATATACATCGAGAAAGAGAAGTCCAGTATTCGAAATAATAAATCTGGTTCAAGTATTGTATTATTAAATTTTATCTAATTACATATCGTGTCTTTTTCAAATACTAAAGTTTATTTGAAATCAAAATCTAATTAAAGTCATAAATTCAGCTATAATTCATTAATAATTCAGATAAAGTACGAGAAAGAATTTTATACTGTAACACATTCTATGTCTGCAAAATAGCATTTCATTGGAAATAAATTCGTGAGTACCAATAAGACGATCAAAAATATGGCATGACTGCATGATTTGACTACTGTACAATGTAATTATTGTTTATTGGTGTAATTATATATTTCATACATATTATTTTAATGCATTATTGTTTTAACTAAGAGTACTGTGATTTAAATCTTTCTTCGAATATATATATTGACAACATTCTAGTCTAAATATAATTTCTTTTGAGTTCTTTTTTAAAAATATTTTTTACAATATTTGTTATTTTAATATGTATTTATGTTATAATATTTGTTTGTTCACACAGAATAAATAAATAAGTATTAAACTTTACATTAGGCAATTTCAGAAAATTGAAGAATTTAGATCAATATCTTGAAACAAGAACAATCAATAACGCCTCAAAAGCAAATAGTTTTATACATACATAAATATAAAATATTCATTTTTTTATTGCGTTACAAAGTAATATGGTTTTTATTCAAGATATTGATGTAAATCTTAAATATTAATATGTTAAAAAACATTAAAATTATTTTTTATGCGTGTTACTTTTTATACTAATAAGTGAATACATGTGGATGATTTTATAGCAACCATGTCATACTCAGCAAATCCGTTTGCAACTGTGACGCCACCACCCCGTCCTACAATCAATCAGATTCGACAGGATCCATGGACAGCGAATACAACTTCTACGGCTAATCCGTTCCTCTCGTAGCCTGATTGACCGAACAATCGAAAGCTCTATAGTTGCTACGGTCTATGAGGCGTGGTTTGCAGTTCTACATGTAGCCCTATACGGTATAGATCTTGATTAACGATAAAATACGATTTTAATTATAACAATTATGAAGAGGAAATGATGCGAATAGAACTGATACGAAACGGAGAAACATCCCTAATATAATGGATATTTTATTGATATCTCAAAGCATTACACTTTTTGATGATTTATATTGCGACACATTTATGCTCGTTGTGCAAGTTTCTCTAATTTTCTTTTTCTTTGCATGTACTACTACTTTTTAATGTTTATTGTGGAGTAATCATCTAAAAACTAACTGGTAGAAACGCGTGGCATACATATAATTACGTAACAAATGAGTGATTTAAAGATGCAATATTTACACGCAAATCATGTTTTAACTTTGAACGGGTCGCTTATTCAAGGTACGATTAGATTTTATATACACTCCCTTCTCTATATAATCTATTTTCTATGTATGAATCGATTCAGGGAAAAAAGATTGCTCAGTGACATCGCTTTGCGCTGCTGGGGAAGAATGTAAAATAACGCTGGTGTTGAGATCAGTTTATGTGTTTTATATTTGTACACACGTTTTCTATAGTAAAAAACGAGATCGTGAGACTGTAATCGTGATTTGTAAAAGCATTATTATATCGGAGAGTTCCGTTCACGTTATACATTTAAAATACGTGTCGATTATGGTCTGTGAAAAATTCAATGTTGTGGCTTGCTTTCTAACAGCAAAAATCCGTAATAGGAGCAGCTACTGTATCGCAATGTGTACACGAATTTCTCACATAACTGCATAGTCGGTCATTCACGAATGACATACTGCGACCTATGACACACCAAGGCACTTTTAAACAAAAACGCAATTGTGAAAGTACCATTCACGCTAACGATACGAACATTAAGGAAATAAGCCTTATTATTTTTATTTTATCCAAATTGACAGTTTTAATCAACTGCACGTTAGCAGATGCTGTAAGCACTGTATACAGATTTGGTGTAGCTGAAAAATCAAATTCACGAGCGATAAGATTGCATCTATCGTATTCGAGAATCATCGTTCTATATTTAAATCGAAATAACAATCCGATATCGAAGGTATTTTCAATTAACAATTTTCACCGACATCCGAGGTTATTTAAGAGCGAAGTCGCTTGTAGGATAAATTTAGCAAATCTACAAAAACAAAGTTCTTGCCTATTCGCTCATGTTTTTTAAATTTACATGACTCGAAAATCAGAATTCTTTATATACAAAGTGTACAAGTTACAAGCGTATATCCTGATTTATATAAGAAATGTACATATATAACATGCATACAGCATATTCCCCATTTGTCAAATGTTTGTAGTGCTCTTAATGATGGACGAGATGACGAGAAATTTTTAGAAACAACATTTAAAAATTGTACATTGTCAATCTTGTGTTCTACATTTGCGGAAAAAACTTGCTGAACTGTGTATTTCTTAAGGTATACTATTCATAATCATTATCACCACTTTTAATTATAAGACGATGTTATTCTTATCACAACATACATTTGTTTATGAGTAGTAACAAGAATTTTTCCAATAAACATGATCAGCATTTTTTCTTCAGACTAATGTATTTTACAGTTTTATACGAAAAGAACTTTTTCACTATATAGCATTGACAAAGGGGGATTGTATTCGCCTATCTTTATCTAAGTAAATCAGAAGTTGCACGATTCAAGCTATTCTAAGTAAATGTCGAGCAAATAATTCCAGTGTATTATTTATGGTTAAATCTAATTTGTTGGCTTTATGCAGTTTTAACATATTTGCTTATATGAGTGAAACTGTATATTTAATATGTATTTATCCCGCTGTTCGCCAGAAGATATGAAGTTAAAATGTATGAGATATGGACGGTAACACGTAAAAATTTAATTATGCGATAATTATTTTCAATAATTTGGAAATAAAAATGATTGTATTAGCCATTGTGCCTGTTGAATATAGCATGGTGTATATCTTAGCATCCCGTATTTTTCTTTTTAGTTTTATTTATGTAACTATATCTTTTTTACTTGTTCTATTTACATATAAATCGAATATATAAATCGAAATCATGATGTATACATAGCTTCATATCTGTGCGGACAGTGGAGTATTTTTGTTTAGCTTTTAGAGCTGATGTAATTGCAGGAAAATTTAAAGAACATTTATAAATAAATATTATATATTTTAGTAGATTATACGATATACTTATTAATATTATACAAATAAATATAAAAATTTTTAAGTTTTCTCAAATTAAATATATTTGAAATTATTATATTTTTCTTTTTCCGAATAAAATTTGTATATAAGAATTTGATTAGATTAGTTGCAATCTATACATCTAAACAATTGAAACTAATCTAAAAAAATGGAAAAGGAATATTACAATAATCTCATTAATTCTTTAATAAAAAATGTTATTTATTTTCACATAAATACCTTTTCAGGGTGTTTTTTTTATTCTAAGCTTAACATAAGTAATGAAACTAGTTATTGCAAGATTTAATTTATAAAAATATTAAAAAATATGTAAAAAGATACACATATACCTATTACTTATTTCCATAGAATATTACATAGAACAACTTTCTATTTGTTAAATTATGCTTAAAATAAAAATAATATAAATTTTTTCTACACGATGATATCTAATAGTTTATATTTTAATTTAATGTAATTTAAAGGGATGCTTCAGTTGAAGAATTTATCGTAACTGATGGGAGAAAATACGAACGAACCTGACTATATAATTGCGCTACTTCAGCATCTTCTCTCTCTAAAGCTCTAATGAGCTGTGCAAATTGTATGGTACCTGTTTTTCACATATACAACAATTAATATTTATTTTACTTCTTTAATACATTCCCAATTACCTTCTCTTCCTTCTGGAAATCCATAATTCTTTATGACATCCATTTGAATTTGTGTTACCAATGGAAATACAAACTGCATCATTTTCAACATTTCATTGCCAGAATTTTCTTTCGCCTCAGCGAGTTTTTGCAAGTTTTCTGGTGTGCTCAATGCTGTCAGAACATCTGTCAATATAGCTGAAAGAAGGAAAGAATGTTTACATATTCATCTAAACTATTGACAATAATGCATTACTTTCAACTGTAAAAATATGTGAATTAAAAAGATCTCTTTTAAATTCTATTTACCCTTTGCAGTTTCTATTGTAAAACCAGGAACGCTTGCCATAATGTACTATTAACTACAAGAAAAATTGTGCTTCAGCAATTTTTTGTTGTCACTTAACCTAAATCATTAATATTAATCGTCGTCCAAAATAGTCTACTGCTCACCATAGTATTGGAGGACGCGCAGTGGCCAGAAAACGCCTAATCGCGTCCTTGAATTTTTATTTCTCTTCTAGGGTTTTTAAGTGAAGGAGCAGCTAAAGCGCCATCATATGATATAATTCGCAAACTCAAACCATTTTAGTCAAGACTCAAACCATTTGGCATCTTGATGTTGTCCTTCAAACTACAACTTGCCACAGTTCACTGACAGTTCACTACGGTCTATAAAATTTTGTTTATATTTTTTATGTGGCTGCTTTTTTCTAACTTGTTAGAAAATTTTGTTTAGAGTTTCTTTTATGTTGTCACCTTTTAATTTTGCATTTTAATGTTGTGAAGCATCTTGCTTTTATAAAACAAACAAGATTTTATATAGGTTATTCAGAGAAGTTTGAAAAGCTTAAAGTAATTTTATAAACACAAGAGTGTTTTATTATTTATTATTTTTATATATTTGACTCGTTTTTTTACATTATCAACCAAATTACTCAGTTCATTAAGAACTTTATAGATTGTTTTCTGTTTAAAGATGGAAATGATGGACTCCCCCCATGATCAAACATTTTTACATATACTTCGTGAGGAAAAGAACATCAGTAATTTCTTGGATGCCTTTTTTGGATTTTTATACAGGTGGTAAGTATGTAATTTATAATATCAATATTTTTTATGTACAAATATCACTCAAAATTATTATTACATTATGATATCTTGCAATGTCAGCACAGATTTTTATATTGAATCAAACTCAGAACAAAAATTAGGCTTCCCACCTGGAATAGCAGAGAAACTTTTAATGAATAGTATGCACAAATGGAAACACAATGCCCCGGCTATACAAAAGACAACTACAAGTGACAAGACGATCAGCAACAATAGCAATGTATCACAACCAAATGAATTAAGTTCGATACAAAGTGAAGACTACAGACATATTCCACCAGTTGTGCAAGAAATTGAGATTGATTCATGTAGCAAGTTGGATAACATTAATCCACTTTCCATACAATCATTTGAGACAGATCATATATCAGATAGTTACAATGGAGCTGTAAGAGAGAATTATGTTTGGACCCAGACACTTAATGATTTGGATGTACTGATAAAAATACCAGAGTACATAAAAACATCCAAAAACATTAAAGTCAACATAAGCTTAGATGAAATCAAAATTGATGTTAAGACCTTTAATTCTCTAGAAGATTCTAAATGGGACAATATCTTCAGTGGCAAGCTTAGTTTTAAAATTCGAAAAGATGAATCTATATGGAGTCTTGTAGCTGGAAAACACATCAATGTGCGTTTATTATAGATAAAGTTATAGATAAGATCTTGGATTTAACTTTCTAAACTACATCTACATATATAACTTATTTATTTTACAGATTCATCTTGAAAAAGTAATTGAAAGATGGTGGGAAGCCTTAATAGTAGATGAACCAAAAATTGATTTAAGCAAAATTGACTGTTCCAAACATTTTGATGATATGGCGTCGGATGAACAAATGAAAGTACAAGAATTAATGTGGAACCATCAACAGAAACTCTTAGACAAACCAACGTCTGAACAAATTGTAATTGTTTATATCTTATATTCTATATTCTATATTCTATATTTCCTTCAAAAACTGAATTTGCACCTTAATTGTTCAATAATTTGAAAATGCTATCTCATTTACAGAAAATGGAGACTATTTTGAAACAGGCATGGAATGCAAAAGGATCACCTTTCTTCGGTACACCTTATGATCCTTCCGTTTTGAAATACAACTAACAAACTTAACTTCTCAAAAAACTTGTATTAACATTTTAAATAATCAAATTCTTCAAGATTTGTATCATATATGTTGAAAATCAAATTATATTGTAAATATAATATACATTTTTATATTTATGAATAAAATTTATAAATAATTTTACATGTATTGCTTATATGTGTATAATTTTATTATAGAAATTTCTGTATTTTTATGTTATTGTTTTTCTTATTTATAATTTAATTATTAATTCTTATGCTTTAGAATCTTATATCATTTAGCAGGCTTAGAATTTTACTGTAATGCATTAAAATTTGATATCTTAGAATTCTAGATTATTTCTTTGTTAAAAAGTATAACATTGCAATAAAGAAAATATACATTCTAAATTGCTGGATCTACCAATTTTTATAATATATAAGATTTCAGTATCTAATTCTATCTTACAAGTATCATTATTAGAATACTTATTTGATTATGATCAAATTAATATCAAATACTTAATTAAATTTTATTTTATTTTCCAAAAATTGAGATTCTTTCAAGATTTAGTATCTACAATATTTTGAAAACTTAAAAAAATTACAAAATTATTCTTATTTTAAAGTCCATCGTATTACATTAATAAAATATACGCTTTTTTCGCATTATAACTTCATAATTATATTTTTCTATATAATTATCATATTAAACATTGATATATTTCCTTTTCAGAAATAAGTAGCATCTACAAAAGTAAAGAATTGTATATTGGGATCTTGACAGTACTCTGTGAAATCATGAACAATCCGAAAGTTCATAGAATGCGAAGAATCCTACGCTTTTCCCCGGCGTTTACGCTGACTTTATCTCACAGCGGTGGGGGGATTGCTATAGGGACAAGGCAGGAGCGGTTTTGTAGACAGCAGGTACACAGCCTCGAAGAAACTGTTCTCATTTCGTAGAACATTTATGACTTTCCTAAGCTTTTACCTTGATTGCGTCTGAACGAGTTTTCACGAATGCAGTAGCGACAAATGTCGACCTGTAAACATATGTTTTCATATCGATATAAAATTTACATTTGTCCGACAACTATTATTATCAAGACTGTAGTCGTACACGTTGATGGAAATATTTTATCATCTTATAAAAAAATGTTGATATTGTGCTATTCTTAATGAGTCGTGAATAAACGTAAAATATGCTGCTGACAGAACTTAAAGAATATAATTTCGGAGAATTCAATTTTCGATATTGCAGATACAGAAAAATGCAATGAGTAAAGATTCTCTTTTGCTGTGGCATGAAAATTTGATTAATTGTGTCTGGTTTCAGTGTCGCTGGATAACACATTTTCCCAATTTTACATCGGCATTATCGCGAGGAGTCGTAACGCGCTCGCGTGCGGGCTAAATAGCGCGGCGGTTTTCAACGACTTTAGGAATTCTTACGAGGAATTATTGAGTCTCCCGAAAAATCACCGCACCCCAAGCTGCATCCTCGCTGCCAGATGCACACAATGAGCACCGCTGCGAGTAAAACACAGGTAATATACCTGCTCGAGGCTACGAGTCCATCCCCACCTGGAGTCCGGTTCTCTCTCCTTGCTCTCTCGAGCTGGCTTTCCTTCGAGGTGAATCGGGAGTCGAGCCATTAGTGCCGTTGCTGTTTGCGAGAGGAATGGTGTTGTGATGTGCATCGCGGTGAAGCGCGCATCCTGAAGGACGACAAGTGCGCGGCTAATCGTCGCATGTGTGTGTGTGTATACATATATACATACATACATACATAAATCCGGAGATTTCGTCAACCGACCCTCTTCATCCCGTTGCTCCCGCGGGATCGAGAGCGGCGCGTCTGTTGTGTTCTCCAAAAATCCGTCCAAGTCGCGGTCCAGCTCTCCTCTTTAAAAACGCAGCACGCTTCGCAGCTTTTCCTACCGGTCGGTAATCGCGACCACGTAGTCATCGCGGCAAGTGTGAGGTGAAGCTAACGGCAAACCGAGACGGACGGGAGAGACAAGCCGAGGACACTTGACGACACCAGCGATAAAATACCAAGATGCCGTGCTCCGCGGTGACGCTGTCCCTTGCCACCATAACCGGTATTATCGCCACTGCCCTCTTGGCGATCGCCTTTTCCACAGACAACTGGCTCTATACCGAGGTCAAGCGTGCCCAGATCCAGGTTCGTACATCTCATACTAAAAAGGATATACGTCGCTTCTATCCAAGCCGACATCGCGCTTCATGCTTCGCGAAGAAAATGCAGCACGAAGGTTGACGATTATAAAGAACCGTGTGCACGATGCGAATGTGGAGTAGATCTCCTTGTTCTTATTTGCAAGAGAAGATGCTCTCCGAAAGTTGTCGATAAAGATGATAGATTCGCTGTGTTCGGAGTTTACATGTCTATTTCGATAAGAGTCGATCTTGAATATTAAACTTTTGCTCAAATTTTAATTCGCTCTAAAAGACGCTTCTTGCGTTAAAAAAAGAAGATACAAAATCAATTAAACATCAATTAATTTTAACTAATATTTGTGGAATAGTTTTAAAAAAATTAATTTGTAGCACGTGGTTTTAAAATATCTAAAAAGGTTAGAAATTGTATAAATTGTGAAACGTGGAATGATATGAAATTTCATTATAAACTTCATGGTGTTCTACATATTTCGTCGTGGGACATCATCAGTATCGTTATTAAAGTTAACTCGATTTAGCCGCAAATGTGCTCTTATTACTCCCAGCATAATCCTTATTAAAATTTTGATTACACTGCTGTTGCACACACAAATAATCGGCTTATGACAGCTTCGATCATTTATGAAAATGAACAGTTTCCCGTCCAAAGTTAGATCACATCCGGATCTCTTTATTCCTGAAGGCCAAACTTGTCATCAGTTACCGTGCTTGTGAATAAAATTTTTTCTATTTTTTTCTACGTTATTGTTCCTTCAAAATGCGAGTAATTCATAAAAAAATTTAGCAGTGTATCTATAAAAAATTTTATTTAACGAAGAGATTATGTAATATATTTGAGATTCTAATAAAAGATTATGTAATATATTAAAGAGATTTCACAAAAAAATGCGTATCTTCTTAAGGAGAGAGAGATAGGAAGTAGAATTCCTCATGACTTCCGTCGACCTTGCCGTGGATGAATGTACGGGTCGAAGGTCAAGTTTATATCCTTTAGAGTTATTGAAAGTCGGGATGTTTGAATCTGCAAATATCAGCACCTGAAAAGCACACCAACAAATATTAGTGAGAAATATTTCATTGAAATTATTTTTATTCTTAAGAGTTTGTGAGATTCTTAAACGTTTGCGCCCATATAAGACTTAAAATTACTAATTTACAGATTTTTTGTAGATTCTTGTTTTTTAATTTAAGATTTACAGTGGATCAAGAAATTATTTAACATTTTCTCTTTAATAAATCAAAGAATTTGAGGCATGACTTGTACAGATACATTTGGACGCATATAAAATATTCCAATATAAATTCTTTATCAGGTAATAATAAATCCTTTAAATAAATTTGAAAATAAGAAGATTTATATAGGTATATTTTTTATACATATATATAAATATATTATTAATACCACTGCATTAAAGTTTTTAAATCACAAATAATAGAAAATAAAAAATTTTTTTCTACTAAATTTTAAGAAATCTTAAATAAATAAAGAGCTGTATTCTTTCTTTAATTTAAGTAAACTTTAAGAATTCTTTCATTTCGTTTAACTTTGATAAATAAAAATGTATCTCTTTCATTTCCACCATTAACGATTGATCCAAAGTAGAACATTCTACATAATCTTTTATTTAATTGTCAATATGTGAAAAAACCCATCACTTATGCATCTCGTGTTTAACGAAAAACGTTATTCTAGAGCAGATAAATCTATTTATGATTGTATCAAATTATCTCGACGTTAGTGGAATCTATTTTCACAAGATATTCTCTTCCCTTTTCCGCTTTTCTCTTTCTCTCGACTGGTGAGACGACTCTCCTCTCCTCTTGCTTCTGTCTCAATCTCTCGCCATCTCGTCCCAAGCCTTCAGAACGATCGACATTCCGAACCGCGCCCATTCCCAGCGCATTGACTCAACGAGTTTTATATTTAGTTATCCATGCGCCGATCGTATGTCTTTTTGTACGAATCTTAGATAAATTTTGTTTGCTTGCAAAATTCACACTGGCTTTAAAATAAGAACCATATAAATAAACAACGTGATAAAAATATGTTCACATTTTATCCTTGCAAAATATTTTTTACAGTATAAAATAATTTTTTTATAAAGAATTTTTTTTATTCATTTAGCATTTTGTCGAAAATTTATATAGATTTTTAGTCTTTACAGAGCTTGTCTTTGGTGGTTTCATCCTGATTAAAATTTTAATTTTCGGCTTTACAGAGCTTGTCCTTGATAGTTTCATCCTGATCACAATTTTAAGTTTTCGGTATTTTTAAATTTAACTTTAGTTACGTTTTTATTCTAAATTTACACATTAACATTCTTTTAACACTTTCGCATGGATCAGTCAGTCCATATGGTTTAGAATCGGCGTATGGAGACCCACTAATCTACTTTAGCAGCCGCATCCGAAAGAATCTTGCGCCATAATTCCGTCGCATGACGTATTACGCTCTGTTATTTTCGCGGCTCGTTTGCTCGTACCTTGACGGACGCGCACGCATTGCAAGAAAAATACGCAATTCCGCGACTCCTCGCTCAGGTAGCGAGAAGGCGTCGGGAAAATCGCGCGTACAGTTATGTCGCTTGCACCGCACCGCGGCGAGTAGGCGCGAGTGAATGCTCGTGCGAATACCTGCGCGCAACAGAACGCAAGGTGATAATTCCACGGGCGGACGGCGAGTTACGACGTGACCTCGGCGAACATGTAAATAACCGCCGATTAACAGAAAGACCGCGTAAATCCCCGACATTAACGAATCTTCCATCAATGAAGACAACCGATGATTTTTAAATCAAGTCGACTTAAAGATAGCAATTGCAAAAAACGTTTCGACGAGAAAAATACAGGATTTATATTTTTAACATGTTTTACTGGTTTCACTGTCCTGTTTCCATGGAAGCTAAATTTTAGACATTACCTTTCAAGAATGTTGTATTAAGGAGAAACTTAATTAGTATTTTTGTTTAATATATTTATAGGTAAAAATAAAAAATTAGAAAACAAATAACTAATAGAATCAATACTCTCTAATTTTTTAATGAGTCGTTTCTTCGAGATACTATAAATAAAAAACTAATTTAAAAAATATTCCATGTTGCGTAATTACGACCAATTAAAAAGTATGCGAGGGTTTAGATATATCTTTTTAATCTTGTGTTTATGAAACATTAAGTTTTATTTAGTTTCTTGCGTCTTACCAAATCCACGGCGTACAATAATTTTCTTCTCGCCGTTCCTGCTTTAATAATAAATTACTCATAATGAATTCTCATACACGCTTACGCGATACGCGTATAATCCTTGCAGCAGAATGGCTCGTTCGCGTTGCACAGGCTGATTACATTGTTGCGCGTATCCTTATTTATTCACCGGCATAAAGGCGCCTGTTTAGCACTTATCCTACGTGTGGTGCACAGTAGCGAATTACGTAGCGCAATATTATATTCATCAAATATAGTCGCACCGTACTTTCATTCGAGAACCAGTGACGTGGCGGACTGAGCGCGTGAGGAAAGGAATGCGCGCGGTTAAATCTGCTTTAATCTTCTTTGGAGCGTTACACGGAAACAACATAAAGAGTTCTTGCAAATGTATGCATATGTGCACACTTTTTAATGAAGTTAAAAACATTATAAGTAACTTCCGCGGATAACATTTCAAAATGCAACATTTACGAAGTTGAAAAAAATTGTGAGATACCATATTTGTGAGAATTGTCCATTTTTCGTCACTCGATGTCTGCCCGCAAAATGTATTAATGAATTAAAAGGGTTATCGTCGAGATAGGAAATTCTCCAAGGCCGCGCTCGCAATGCTTTTTAAAGACGCTGAATGGCGTAACGCGGTTCGTGCGCAAAACGTTCCGGAGAAACTCGAGTATTGCACGAGTATTCTTCTTCCTGTCCTGCCCAATGCATTGACTGTCAATGGTAAATCTCGGCATGATTTTATTGCCGTGCGATAATGCAATATCCGCAACGCTATAAGTTTGCCATCTCAATGCAACATTTACAATGTGCAATGTAATTTTATTTGCGCTAATAAGTTTATTATTACATGCATATGTTCTTTCGATATCTAAGAAAACTTTGAATCTTACCTGTAGATTATAGCGCTCGAGTTTATGTAAGAAGATAAATGTGTGTAGAAAGCATAAACTTTTCAACGAATATGACATATCGATCGTGTTCAACAGAGATAACAGTTGCGCAACTACTAAGTAATAATCAAATTTGATTAAGATATGTACTGTAGATTCTCTTTAAAGACTCTTTAAATATATTTCTAATATGCTAAATAGCGAAATGTTTCACTTTCTCTTTACAAAAATTTCTAATGCATTAAATAATCTTGAACTTCAAACTTAAACATACGGCGAATACAAAAAATATATTTAAATTATATTTCTTGGTTCTAAAAATACAGTTTCCTATAATTGAAAAGATTTCTAACGATTCCTTGTTGGTCTAATTATATGGCTGATAAATAATTTATAAATGAGAAATGCTCGATTAACAACTGCGAGAACATCGGCGAATAGGTATGCAGAATTGCATTTACCGGATAATCCGTATCATTTTGCCGTTCTGACGTGACAGATTAATGCGGAAAGTTGTTAAATGTATCTCTCGAAATGGGCTAAATTACGTCAGTTGTCATTAAAATCGAAGCGGCGCCCGCATAAACTTCCATTATTCACGATCGATCTCTTTAATGCACGACGACAAATTATTCAGATAGAGGATTGCGCAATCGTAAGTTGTTGCACACAGTCGGAAAAACGATCGCGGCTCGTCGGCCAATGAGCTAGTCAGGAGAGAGATGAAAAAAATTCAAATGAAAGTTGCCGTACGCAACACAAGGCGGCTCATTAGCTAAAAACCTCGCTGCTCGCAAACGCGGTGAAGGGGCCTTCCCAGGTCCTTTTATACTCGAATTCGCATTCGAATCGATGAATTTATATCGGTCATCGAAAGTATCGATTTTTTTTTCAACATCGGAGACGAGAGGTCCAGTGAAAGCTGTTTCTCCGTCTATTTCCCCGCGAGCGTTCGCGAATATTTATATATATGCTCTAGCTGCTACAGTTATCACTTGATAAATCCAATTGTAAATATATACAGCATAATAATTATTTCTTATTTTGTTATCGATAATCCCAGCTATTCCCATTGAGCCTAACCGCCGGGTTTTCCTTTCTATGTCAAAGAAATCAGCCAGGCTCGACGATGTTCCCGCGCTTGAAACGAGCAATGGCGAAATAACAATGTGAAAGCAGAATGGTGTGGCCTAGACAAAACCGGCGTTTGTCAGAGTCCTCCTTTTTCCCTTTTCTCGCGAGCGACAATTGATGATAACTCCGATATGCACTGTCGCGAGAGAACTCACGTGTTGCAGTTTCAGACAGCACCTGTTGCTCATAGAAACTTTCGCGCGAGAAACACACTTCTCGATTAAGTGCACTGACTTTACAAGAAATAAATATTTCTCGTTTCTTTCAATTTTGGTTAAAATTGCGTTACATTGCAAATATGCTAGATTAAATTTTCTTTTTCTTCTTTCTGTCATTTTAAAGTTGCAGTATTTATCAATTGGATCGATAAATATTGATACAAATAGCATTTATATATTAATATATTTTATTATTCGCTTTATTCCATTCCAAAACTATTTAATTCACGTCGGAAAATCAAAAGCATTCTAGCGAATATGCATCATTCAGCTTGCGCGTTCTTTCAATAGAATTGCTCGGAGCGCATGGGTGTTTTCGCCAAGGTTAAATGAAGCTTGCATCAGCAACGTACGTCATGCTCGCACAATTATTACTTGCTAATCGAGGAAGAACGTAGGCCGTAGAATTTCTCAAACATCACCATGCTGTTGTTGACAGATGCAACAGGTATGCACTTCTACACAAAGCACATAGCAGAAGCCACGTTTATCATACAATTGTCATTTTTTTCATGGGATAAACTCAACCTCAAACTAACGCTTTCTATTGGCATAATATTTTTAAACGTTTTGTAGAACATAATATTGTTTGTGTGCGATAGATATAAAATTTATCTTAAATATATAAAAAATAAATAAACATTCCATTATATTTCACTGATTTGGACTTGATTTTTCCGGACTTCAATAATTTTTATATCATTTGAAAAACGAAAGTAAAAGACAAATCTTTTTCAAAATCCTAAAATTTATGGATGCTCAGAAATAAATTGTACCAGAAGATCATATAGAGACTGAGAAAATATAAATATTGTCTGAAAAATGGGATAAACAAAAAAAAAACACACTTTCGAAACGACTGTACAATTTATTAACGATCGGTGGATAGTGAATTAAGAATTGTTTCGTGGGAAGCATCAACGGGTGTATGCAAAAGGAACGAGCACGCATGTTTTCGCACCGCGGAAATGTTCCTTTCCGTCGTCGGTGGTTGCGATTCATGCGTTAAGATTTCCCGCATAGTACGGTGTATTATTATACTTTCTACCAAGCGTTTGAATCGGGAAATCAAAGACGGACTTTCTAGAAAATAGATCGTAACGGCCGCTAGCATTAATTCCTGCTCGCCAAGGACGAGATGGGTGAGATTATCAACGCAGCTGTCGATGGGAGGAGGATCGATATACGCTTCACTTTGTAGTGATCTGAAATTGCATAAATTTCGAGGGCGGTATGCGAGGTACATCCTTGAGCACAAGAAAGTACGGAACTTGTACCGACACGCATGAATAAACGCTCTCTATGGTTCTTACGGGCTTCATAGGCGGGCCTCTTCGCGGAATACCGATGGTTTGCAACGTGAAATAAAGCAAGGACGGGCAATCGTTTTCCTTATTCGTAACTGCATCCATTACAAGTCGATAATTCCTTAACATGACTATCAAATTTATGCGAGCATTAAGCTACATGCATTAATTTGTACAGATTTCTAGTGACTAATTCTTCGATTAGAATTGGTAATAAAAATATCATGGAAAGATAGCAGTATTTATCTTAAATTAATATCAATTTTCATATAAAATATATTTAAATATATATATTTAAGTTGAGGAAAAAAAAAATTTTTTTTCTACGAATGTCGAAAGCTTCAAATGAAATCTCACGTTGGTAAATTGATCGAATTAGATTTAAAATATAATAGATTAAGTACAAGTTCTAAAAAAAGTAAAGTTGTGGTCAGTTTTAATTTGCCTAAGCTGGACCCAATATGTGATTAAATAAACATCGCATCTCTTTAAAAATACAAGAGAGATCCTGACAGATGTTCTCTCGCAGGAACGTGATATTCTTACTTTCTAACGATAATAATATTTTCGCGAAAGGAAGAGCGCGCTCTTCATCTGCATTCGAAAACACACGTCCAGTAGCTCTCTCCGCTAAACCAGACGAATTATTCGCCGCGACTTTGTTCTTGTCCTTTCACTTTATCATCATTAATAACGCGATGTACTGTAACTTTCCTCGAATGTTAAATTAACTTTTACGATTATCCGCATCTAGCTACAGCAAATTTTTCTTTCTGTTACAGCAATACGCGAGCAAGCATGGCGAGCAAAGCCATTTGGTGGAGCAGATGAACATGAAATATTATTATTACACGAGGACTCAGGGCTTGTTCAGGATATGTTATCCGAAAGAGAGACCGCCAACAGGTAAGAGAAAAATCGCTAAGCAGATTCTAACATTTTGAACACGCCAATCAACAATCGCGTGTAGTAGTCGCGGAAAGACGTTTTATTTGTGTTTGATCAACACTCTCGATAATGTCCCGAATTAGGATTGACAAACCATGCCGAGTGCCTCGTTCAGTGACGCGGCCTTTAGAAAACTTTCTACGTTACAATCTCGTAATGTCGTAGGTTATCCGATCCCACGTAATAGGTTAACAGTTTATAATCGACACAGTACAGACACACACAATCTTTGGAGAAAGGTGCATTTTCACCCGATAGCCTTAGCGTGGTGCATCTCGACGCTTTCTCATTCTAGGATACGTTACCGCGTAATGGTTTACCATTACGCTATACGTAAAAAATATTAACATAGTAGGCCATATAAATAAAATGCAGCGAATACTTTCTTCCTTCCTTCTTTCAGCAAAGCGAGTACTTGGAAAAAAATAGAGGTCAAGAAAATAAATATATTACGAGATTTAGCTATGTGTTAATTCAAAGCATTTGCTCTATCGATGAAGAAAATATATCTTGAAGAGATATCGATATTAAATTACTCGTCTCGAATAACACATGTCCGTTAGTTATTTGCAGAAAGAAGTCGAGTGAATGACCGCATGGTTTTTCAGGCATCGCGGTTTCCTGAACAAAATGTTTAAGTAATGACGGGAATGTGGAATTCTGTCTCCCCGCAGAACCGATTTATGCGAAATTTTTTACATGCGATATCGACCGCGAGAATCTTCCTCTTAAATTACTTAATGGCGACGAGACTCATGGTCCGAGGACTTCTGGGTAGATGGTTCTTTTTTTCCATCGCGCACTTCGTAAGTGGACCGTTGCGATCGCGGTCGTTGCAAAATAGCCGACGTGTCGATCGATCGGCCGATCACTTGTGTGTTAATTCTTTACGAACACAAGCCGTGACTTTGTATTGAGTAAAGAGAAAAAATTTCTCCAACGTTATAATCAAATGTAAATATAAATTGATTTCTGTGGTCTTATAATTTCGAAAATTTTTTTTTAAAAGCTATTTTTTAAAGATAAAAATTTTAGTATTCTATAGTTATAATACATATTAACAATAAAAATCGTGTTTGTATTTAAACGTTATTATTTTTTATTAAAAGGTACAGTGTATTAATTTGAGTTTAGAAATTCGACATTTAGATCCGGGTTCAAAACACACACACACACACACATATACCGTCGTTGCGCGCACAAGGATATGATAAAATCCTGCTCCTCGTGCGCAATTTCGCATCGCACATAACACTCTATGGCTTGGAACTTTCTACGGTAATGACGCATGATATATGTCGTCTAATAACGTATCGAATATTTTTAGAATAATGTGAAGTAAATCGGCGACACTTGTATAAATTAATTCGCTTAAAAATAATACGTAATAATACGTAATCGCATGCAGTCATCCAAGTCGTAATCCAATGCAATGATACATAATTAATTTGTAATTATGAAGTCAATGTAATTAAATCTGTAATCAATGCAATTAATTGGATAATAGCTTAATTTTATATAATGGCTCCGATTAATCTTCGCCGGGGAGCACGTGCTGATTCAATTCTGACACAAATCTAGAGGTCACTGTTAATTAAGATATTAAAGTTATCTATTCAAATTGGCGTTTTAGAGATCGATTTTTCCGATATCCATTAAATTTAATCACAGTTCTTTCACGCTTTTGTTTCTTCCTTAAACGTGTCTTTAAATAAAAAGTGGACAATTGAATTACAGTTAAAATTAATCGACATAGCTGAAGTAATAGCTCTTGAAGTTCACACGATTACAATATAAGTAATGTGTTATAGATAATTCTATATTATATTTTTAAATACCTATACATGAAAATCTTAAAATAGAAACAATGTCATATTTTACATCATACAAATCGCGTAATCGACTTTTGCGTGCCTTTCGATCGTTACGCAATGTTCATACCGCGACATAATAATTGCAGATTACTATGCTGGCGGTAGCGTTGCGGAAACGTGCTCTGCATATGATTGAATCATTCAATCGCAAATCAATTTTGTTAACAATAAGCAAAAACTCAATTTAATTTATGGAATATTGTGCGGAGAACCTAAAGTAACAAACTAACAACATAATAAGATGCAATTTTAACCATGATTTATAACCACACAAAGAATAAATTTAGATTCAATCCACTTTTAAATTAATCTACTATAAATTATATAAATTAATTAAAATAATTTCTTTTTTGAGAATTATGTATTTATATCACAAGATTAAGTTTTAAAATGTATTTTATATTACGCTATAAAAAGTTGGTCTAATTAGTTTATAATTCGATTAAATTAAAATGTGTATTTTTATAAAAGGTGTCACATATAATTTCGTTTATTTAGAGAGATTTATTTCAAGAATTCAAGATTGAAAAACTATACTGATTATTTTTTCTACAAATCCGGAGTACAGTACAGGTGATTCCAATTCTATCCCGGAAGTTTTAAGTTACGTATTCTTCTACCAAGAAAAAAAAAACCCACGCTATAAAGTGAAAACGTGCCCATGGGGAACTACCGATCATGCGGGCCGTGCATACATTAGGGAGCTCAAATAAAATCTATTGTTATCCACACAATAGCGAACCGCTACGAAAGAAGCGATAGTTACGTTCATAAAATTTCGAGATAAATATAAAAAAATGTATAAATGGCGCATTTTACGAAATAATCGATTCGAAACGAGTAGATTGTTAATTAGCATTTCTGGAGTATGCGAAAAATTGCGAACATGTGAAATAAATGCAAAATCCCTTGAAAATAAAATTGTATGCAAGATCGTTACGATCAATTGCTTTCTTATGCAAGATATAGCAATGTCTCGTGGCAGAGTAATAAATTGTCACAGCTCCATTAGTTTGATAATGTTGGATCAATCGGTCTCATTATCCCACACTGAGAAAAATGGTTTTATTATATTAACAAAATTCTTCTGGTTGACCGTATTTTAGTCGAACGAAACAGAATTTCTGGTTATCGTCACAAAATTTTACACCTTATATCAACACCGTTTGGTTAACTTTACTATAAGGATTTGAATAAGTGTTTTCTTGTTGGATCTACAAAACTTCTTGTTATATTTACATAAATCGCAGCGCTCTGCAACAGTTTTGTCATCACTCACTAAACGGTTGATCAACTGTTCGCCGCATTCATTTGTTATGGCCGGAGCACAGACTTTTGCATAAAGCATAACGCATAAGCATAAGGAAATTGATTGGTCCATTTCCTTAT